GCAGCAAAGTCTCCTTGCCCGCCAGGGTGGCAGAGGAGACGGTGGCGTGTGATGGAGCCGGACTAGTGCTCAGCCAGTTAAACCAAAAAAAACAACAAAAAGAAACAGGCAGAGGGAGAAGCAAAAAACCATGGAGAACAGCTCCTCTCCTGCCCTCCAGAGCATGGAGGTAACCCTTGGGGGGTCGGGACGTGACACCTCCTTCCCTCTTCAGCAGAGCAGCAGCTCCAGGCGCAGACTATCCAGCGCACCCAGTGCCAGGTGCAGCCCAGGCCAGCTGGCGGTGGAGCCCTCGGTGTGTCCCTGGCCACACGCAGCACCAGGGCCCTGCCCCCTCGCCCGGCCCCAGGAGGGGAGAGCAGTTCAGGTGGCAGTTGGATGGCATGGCTGACGGTCCATGCGGGCAGCAGCACCCTCGGCGCTCTGCCAGGCACAGTTGGGATGGATGCCGAGGCGGCCGAGCTTCGCGCTTCGGCCCCTGGCGCAGTCCGGCTCCCGCCTCCCTTATAGGAAACCCTCCTTCCGGAACTGCTCCTTCAGGATGTCTCTGTACTGGTCGAAGCCGCCCTCGATGCGGGTCACGGTGGCATTCTCGCACACCCACAGCTCCTGGCACACCAGGCGGATGAAGCGCTCATCGTGGGACACCAGAATTACACCACCCTGCCAACACACATGGTGGGGGGAAAAAAAGAAACTTAGTGGAGTATAACTCACTGGTGGCATGGGAACCTACCTGTGCCCAGGACTTCAGGTTTCCACCCCCTCCAGGGAAAACTGACCTAATCCCAGCCTCTCCTTCCTTCAGGGGGACAGACAGGTCATGCATGGAGGAGACACATGCAGCAACGGCACATTTAGCCTTCCCTCGCAGAAGGCAAGTGCAGGGTTTGTTACTGGCTCTCCAGATCTCAGACAACTTCAAGGATGGAGGTGACACCCCTTCCAGGTGGAGCCAAGGACAGTTAAAAGGTGGCTGGGAAGGCCCCGAGTAACCCCAGTTATGCTTTTCTTTTACAGGAAAACCGCCCCAACCTGAGCAATGAGGGAGAACCAGGTTGAGCACAGCGGTACCTGGAGGCTGCGTCTTTGGAGCTCAGCCATAGAACGTGCCTCAGGAAGATCTGAGTGGCCTCAAGGCAGGGCCGAGTGCCACACGCGGCACATGAGAACTCACTGGGTGCAGGTGACAGGTCAAGACGGGACACAGTGCTCTCTGGCCTGCTGTTGCCTCTCAGCCACCACTTGCCAAAATCAGCAAGTCAAACAAACCACCAGGATAGATGGCTAAGGCAGAAATGTCACTGACTTCCCAAAATCTGTCCCGGACTTGAAGCCACCACTGGTATTTGGCCATCCACCTCTGGCTGAGATACCACGTAACTTGAGCTGGTGCCTGTGGGAAGCGCTAGGAAAATGGGGGATCTTGCCAAGGGAACCTTACCCGGAACTTATTCAGTGCCTTTGCCAGTGCCTCAATGGTCTCCATGTCCAGGTGATTTGTCGGCTCATCCAGGACGTAGAAGTTTGGGCTGGAAGAGATGACAGCTCTGAGCATGCACTGGAACAGGCCTGGGCTGGGTGTGCACCCTGTTGCACTGCAGCAACCTCTACCAGGCTGCTGCTTTAGCCACTCAGAGCCACAGCCATTAGCATGTGGCTCAAGCTGTGCCAGGGGAAGTCCAGGTTGGATATTAGGAAAAAAATTTCTTCCCTGAAAGGGTTGTCAAGCCCTGGAACAAGCTTCCCGGGAAAACTGGCAGTGCTGGGTTAACAGTTGGACTTGGTGACTTTAAAGATCTCTTCCAAACAAAATGACTCTATGATTCTGTGTGCCTGGCCCCAAGATTATTGCTGCTCAGCTCCAGGAACATCTCTTATCCCTGTGAGCCCAAAGCAGTAGGAGAAAGCCACCTGGCCTCTTTCCGCAGTCCCCACCAGGATGACAATCTCCCTCCCCACAGAAGTCCCAAGAACGGGGCTTCCGTGTGGCAGCACAAAGTCCCTGGATACCCACCTTCCCCCTCCTGAAGCAGGCTCCAGAGATGGAGCCATGCAAAAATCAACAGCATCTGGGAGAAAATTACCAGGACATAGTCATCTGGGCAAAGGCCACGCGACTCTTCTGGCCTCCAGACAGGCTGGCCACGGGACGCACGGCCAGCTCCCCCGAGACGCCGTAGCTGCCCAGCTGGTGCCGGTACTCCTCCTCCGTCTTCCCTGCGGGAGAGAGTCACAACAGAGCTGCGGCACGCGCGGCGGGA